GCATGTTGTGTCGATTTGATGGCAACGCATAAACAAGAACAAGACCGAGAGCCCGGCGGAGCGACAGACAGAGACAAAGCACTGTATTTAGAGGGAGACAAAGCAGCGACTAATGAGTTTTAAGGGGCCAGGCGATGGGGCTCCCGGGTGTCATATCCCGGATGTAATGAGCAGGGAAAACAAAAGGCTAAAAACCAACCGCAAAATGGCCAAATCCAAAGGAAAAGCACAGCTCGGAGAATGGCGATTCCAGGACCAGTTGAAGGAATATTAATGATGGGAATGGATGGGGGAAATAAGCGATGAAAATAGGGCTCGGGATGGGTGAAATCCCCACTGGGATGGCTCCGCAAACGTGGCCAAGCAAACTTCACCGACCTGCAATGTTTGCCAGGGCTTATGGCTGCACTTCCTCCTCTCCAGCCTCGCTCCTCAGCCTTCCATTTTTGCCCACGCATATAGGTAATTAAGAATTATGGGGAAAGGGAGTCGAGGCCGAACAGAACTTATTAATTTCTGCATTATTTAAGCGTGTAATTTATATGTTCAGCTGGCATTTTTAATTGCATTACACGGCGGTAGGTTAATGCATGTTAAATGCATAATGAGCACGGCCAGCGGATAGAAGGGGTTGGGGAGCAGCCGCCGGAGAAGTGTCATGCGAGGCGACGTTCCATGGCGTTTGTTTTATTAATTGAAGTTTAATCAGCGACAGCTGCCACAAGTCACGTGCCATTTCCCATTTCCCCAATGGCCCGAAAAGGTCAAATCCACCGATTGGTCCGATAAGAAGGACACTTCAACTAGCGCCGTACCAATCATGTAGTTCAGATGCAACTGCCCGGCTATCTCAGATCTTTTCTTAGCCACTTTCTCCTGGAGTGCAGCTCCTTTCGATTCGGTTAGCCTTTAGTTTTTCACAAATTATTTCCGATAACATCTTGAGAACTTTGCGCTCCTTTCTTGTCTACTCCTTGGCCCCCGTGGACCTTTTAATAATTTCATTTAGTGGAAAATTGTCTTAAGCCAAATTGAATTAACCCACCTCGCCCATTCACTGGCAGCCAGGAAGAAGTCTTCTTCGCTTTTGCCTCTTTCGCAATTTGATGAAGCTTTCAGATACACTGAAAGGAACCCCGGGACTAGAGACTTTTTAGAATCATAGTTGCTCCCTCTTTCAAGATGTCATCACTTGGTAATACCTTTTTCTATCAGAATGTACTAGTTTCACAGGTTATTCCAAGTGTATTTAGGTCAAGTTAGCACAACCAAAGGTTGGCACTTGACTTGGCCTAATGGCGTTCAAGACGCTTCAAGGACTTGGCCGCAAAGTGGACATTGTTAAGGGGCGGGGCTGCCTGATTGGAAATGGAATTTAAAAGTGGCACGGACCAGCCAAAACATTTGGCCACGTAAAGCAATTTGCCAACTGCATCGATGTCGACTTAAAAGCCTTGTCAAATAAAGGAAAAATCCCTAAAAAAAACCCGGGCGAAAATCAGAAAACTGAACTCTTTGGCATTTTCAGGGGTTAACGGAGGACGGAAAAGAGCAAGGACAAACAAAATGCAAATGTAGATAAGTAAATAAAAGACATACAGTTGACATTTTGTTTTCAGGGCTGCTCGGCGCATACAGAGTGTGCGAAGAGACCTCTAGGGGGGCGTGAATTGTTTAGCCGAATTCATTGGCCCAAAAGCATTTGCTTTCCCTTTCTACTTTGTATTTTCTCTCCCTCTCTCTCTCTCTCTTTCGCCCTTGCTCTTTTTATTTTTAGCCGTAGCAACATATACTTTATGTGAGCAACAGTTGCAATCTTTCCTCTGTGCTTTCCTACACTCTGACAGTCTGACGCGTGCCACCTAGTGGCCAAAACTCACAACTTTGATATTCTTTGGCCATTATTCTATTTGCAATTTTGCGCACAAACACGGGAAAATAAATAAGCAAATTGAAAAAATGCGAAGCAAAATAATGCAAACAAACTGGAAACCTGCAAGCTGCAAGATGCGAGGAAAGCGGTGCCGAGGCAGAGGTAGCTGCCATTTTGGCACATGGCAGTTTCCGTCGAGTGCACATGACAAAAGTGTGGAATGTGCAGAGGCGCACGTGGGGGGCAGAAAAATTCCTTCAGCCAACTGGCAAAAAGTTAAAAGTTTAATTGTGCGCAACTTTGGCCAGGATGTGATGTCAGCCCAGGCGGCCGGGCGAAAGGACTTCTGTGACAAGTTCTATTAAGTTTATTTTATATATTCTCGCATTTTGCATTTAAACAAAGCAGAACGTGCTGCCACAAACTAGTTGGCGGCACCGGGGGAGCGTTGGGGGTGGAATTTGGGCGGCATCTGGGGGTATCTGGACGCCAGGGTCACTCGATTGCAGCGCACACACTTTTATATGGCAGGTTGCGCACACTTGACTGCTCGATGGCCCCAGCAGTCTGCCACTTTGCATCAGTTTCAGGGCTCTTGGGCAGCGTCCAGGTTTCTCGGGTCCCCACCTCTTAAGGGATCCTCCATCCCCAGGTAAGTACTGGTCACTTAAACACGGCAAGAATATGTATAACTTTCAGCTTAAAAATATTAAGATTTTTAGATACCACGAACTCCGTTCTAGTTGTTAAATTTTAATTTAATAAATTATTTGGGGAATTATAAAGGGAATTACTCAATTATTTAGCACTATATCAGTATTTCTCCCAGTGAAACCTTGGGGAATCGGCTCCTTGGCTTCCACATAAAACGTTTAAATGAAAGAAAAGCAATATGTTGCCGCCTGCAGATGACAAGCAAACACCGGGCCAGGAAGCAGCCAGGATCGGGCTTTAGGAACGGCTTGAGGTCTGTGTAAAATATTTACCAACCATCAGCCGCTGTCATACTTTTTTAATTGACTTATCAATAATTCATGCAGCTGGCACACACACAGGGACACACGTGGGGAGTGGGGGGGGCGGAGCCGAGAACGAATACTCATAAATACAAATGAAGTCAGATTGCAGTGTGAATGAATAGCAGGGATGGAAGGTGGAGAGTGAGAAAAAATGAGGGGAACAAGGAGCAGGGGAGAAGGTGAATTGCATTTCCAACTCTTTTCCACTCTTTCCAGGTGCAGGTCAACGACTGAACTCGCATTTTCCTCCCTTGGTTTTCGCACTGCAGGAAGATTGCCTTCGTTTACTTTTCGGCTTGATATTTATTTTGATTAATTTAAGTCTCCTAGTTGGTAATATTTTTCATTTTCATGTGCATCTTTATCTTCCCTCGCTGTGTGAATCCTTCCATCCTCTTTTTTTGGGCAATGACTGCAGAGCAGGAGCGAAAAATGCAAGTGGAGCCAAGTGATTGATGCATTTTTAATGCGCATTTCCGTAGGAGAATGCCAGCAGTAACAGTTAACACTTGGAGGAATGTCCCAGCATATTTCTGATATAATCCAGGCTTAAAACGGCTCGTTATTGGAGTTTGCTTGCATTTAAGGACTGGCTTTCCACAAATTTTAAAAGGCTTAACGGTGAATACGAAATAAATTTCGAATATTTAGGGGCTACCCAATTTATTTATCAAGACTATTGTATGTTTTTCTGAATATTAAATCATGCAAATCTGGCAATAAAAGTGTTGGTGGAAAACTTTTAACTACCAAATCGCACAGCTATGTGTTAACGCACTTCAATAAGTTGGCCGAAATCACGCGCGCATAAAAATCCATAATCGCTGTGGAAATGAGGAAAGTAAAACAAAAGTAAAAACATTTTTTTTTTATCAAGGATGAAATCAAATTTAACGCTTCGCTTGGAAAGGGTAGCCGTAGCCCCCAGTCCCAGTCCCCGCCTCTCTCATCTTTTAGCCCAGAGCCTGGCCCAGCTACCTTTGTGCGAGTCTAAGGCCACGTACCCACTTGACATGAAGGCAGTGCAGCGAGGCGAACGGTGGGTGGTGGCTTAGTGTGGGTAAAGGGCTGTGGGTGTTGGGTGATGGGCGATGGGGGCTTGGTGGCCGGGCACGTGCCGCGCGGATTACGCGTGGCATGCTGCTGCGAAGAAATATGAAAGGGAAGCAGCGTGAAATATGTGCAGCATAAGACAAGGCGCATAATCAAAATGTTGGCAGCAGCAGCACCACCACCACCAGCACCAGTGGATGCACATGCCACTTACACAACTGCACAGGACTCGCCCCACCGCCTCCCCTTATTTTCGGCTTTATAAAGCAGCAGGATTCTCTCCGCCACTCTGTTGAAAAACAAAGGGCGCCCAACAAAAATTGCACGCCCGAGCTGCCAGTTGATGTAGCGCTCCATTACGCTAGGGGAGGCTGAGGGGCGATTGCAACAGCACTCGACATATCGATCATCATTGCCATTGCAGCTCAGAAGCAGGCGAAAGTCTTTAAAAGCATCAAATGAAAGCGAGTGATTGAAAGGGAGTAGTTTTCACATATATTTATATATTTATATAAAGCATTTTCGGACTGGAATAGTAGTGGTTTGATTCTGTGTTTATTTCTAGAAAATATAGAAAATATATCAATCAATTCCCAAATCAACTTGCTTTTTAAAAGTAAGCACTATTTATAAATTAACCTTTAAAAATTCCATCAGAAAGGCTCTTGAACTTATTCCAATATCAACAAAAATATTGCTATGAAATCTCTTCTCTTTATATATGTACCTTTTGGCCATCTTTATTCTGGCAATTCCTTAGATAAATATAAACCCCTCGGCATAATCCCCAGAATGATTTGCATGGACTCTGCCTTTGTACATAAATGCAAATTTTAGCCCAAATTCTAGTACTCTACTTAGACTTTGGAGCAGCCAAAAGAACTTTTCGCGACTTTCCACAAGCTCATACAATAATTCAGTATGCAGGACTCTGGGTTTGGGCTCCGTATTCCCCAAGCTGTCACTTTTGCCGCATTCCGCTGCCGGGCCCATCTCTTTCGTATTTTTCTGCCTTACTTTCTATATGTATTTGTGGGATGGAAACTGTCACTCACCTCTTCCTCATTGCTGGCCGTGTTCACGGAGTCCATGCTCTGCGAGAGTCCCAACGGGGCCAGGGCCATCTGGTTCTCCATTATGGCGTTGCTGCTGCTGCTGTCCCTGCTGCTGTTGCTGGTGTTCAGGTTGTTGTTGCTGTCGCTAACGGCGGTTGTCGCTGCAGTTGCTCCTGCTGTTGCTGCTACCGACGCTGCTGCTCCTGCTGCTGTGGGGGCGGCGCTGGTGACGCTGCCTGCCGGCGAGGGCGTGGTCGGCGCGGAGGCGGTCGCGGAGTTGGACTCGTGGGAGTGCGATTCGTGGGCGGGACTGTCCGGCAAGCTGCCGCCGCTCGTCGGCACAGCGGCAACGGATGTTGCTGCTGGCACAGTCGCAGCTGTTGCTGCCGGGCTGACGCTGGTGTTGCTGCCGCTGTGCTTACTGCTGGTGGTACTGCTGCTGCTGCTCAGCAGGATGTGTTGCTGCTGCGGCTGCGGCTGTGGCTGCGCTGCGTATCTGTAGTAGTGGGCCAAAGACTGCTGCTGGGCCTGCTGTTGCTGCTGCGCCTGCACCTGCTGCTGCTGCTGCAAGTGCTGATTGAGCAGAGCTGCTGCTGCCGCCTGATTGAACTGGGCCAGTCGCTGCTGCTGCTGCTGCTGTTGTTGCTGCTGCTGTTGCTGCAACTGGGGGGCAGTGGCGACCGCGTAGGCAACCTGTTGCTGCTGCACCTGCGCTTGCTGCGCCTGCTGCTGTTGGTGGTGGGCGGCAACGGCGGCCGCGAACTGCGTGGGATGGGCGAAGCTCAGCTGGTGGTGGTGCGGATGCGAGATCGAATGCTGATGCGAGATCTGATGCTGATGCGAGATCGGATGCTGATGCTGGTGCTGGTGAGCGATTGGGTGGCCCTTGACGGAGACGGACACGGGCACGGGAACTGTGACGGGCAGCGGCACGGACACGGGCACCGGCACGGGAACGGTCACCGGCAGAACGGAGACGGCGGCGGCACACTGGCGCTTGGGCGACGGCGACAACACCTGTGGGGCACTTGCTGGCGTCTGCGGCAGCGTCGGCCTGCGTTTTATCGCAATCGACGAAATGGTGATGGCTTTTTCAAACACCGCCTGCTGGTTGTTGTTGTTGCTGCTCTGGTTGCTGATCTGACTGATCGGGCTAATCGGATTGACGGCCGGTAGGATGGGGCTGATCGGATGGCTGATGGCTGCTGGAGTCGTCGGCGCTGCTGGCACCAAATGCTGCAGTTGCAGTTGCGGTTCGGCGGCTGCTGCAGCGGCTGCGGCGGTGGCGATGAGCAGTTGATGATGGCTGCCCAACAGTTCCTGGTAGTTGGCTATTTTGACGAATCACTGTGACTGCAAAAAGAACAAAGGACGAAATATATAAATTAATTGTAAATAAAGGATGTTTTTATATAAATTTAATACATATTTTTGTAGTGATAACAGAAAAGAATTAACGATTGAACAAAAGTTTGTTTACTTTTTGCTGTTAATAATAAAGTAATACAAATCAAAGAACACATATTGAAAATTCAAATGAATATAAACCCTGTATAACTGAAGCTTAAGTCGGAATATGAATAATAATCCTGCACGTAACCGACACATCCCTGAGTAATGAAGGTTTTGAATTCTGACTCTGAGTAGACAACAAATATTTGGCCAGCGTGTGAGTTATTGTTTTATGGCATATGCAAATAACATTCCGATACTGCTGAAATACTTTTAGCTTATTTAACATAATGCAAAAGTTTACACAACCCAACAAGAGAAGAGGGTGGCTGGGAGGTCTGGAGCAACGCTGCATAAATCAGAAGCAAATATGACGAAAAATGTGTTCGATGAGGGAGAGAGGGCAGAAATTGAGTGACGAACAGCGACCCAGAATTGACTGAACTATGTATATGAATTTTTGTTTGTCTTTCTGATTGTAAAGCAACTGAAAGTCAATGTTTTTCTTTGAATTTGCATGATTCCAGTGGAAATAAGGAAAATTTATCAATATCAATTAATCGGAACTCACTCATTAAAGCAAGCTATTAATTTCATATAAAAACTGCAATAAATGTCATTGTTTATGCCAAAAGTTCAATCTCTTGATGTTTGTCATCGCTAAAGCAAGCTGCACTTTGGCAAATATGCAAGGAATGCTACGCTAGTGGGTCAGACTGGCAACACAGACCGCCCCTGTTATTTCTTGCAGTGTCTGGCAGAGTGTATGCCACTTGTGCTTATCTACTGGGAACCATATGCGTAGTTGGGTAAAAAATTTAAATACACCGGGGAGAAAATAACAGCAACAGCAACCGCAAGGCAAGCAAACAAACAAACAAAACACAGCTACACTCTAGAGTTCACTGGAGAGTGGGAGCAGGGGCTGAAGGGTATCTGAAACAACTTGAAAATTGAGCTGACAACAAACCGAAATTGTATTACAAACGCACGCTTCAGCTGGCAGAAATATGCACATAACTAAAGCCCAGATCTTGAAGATATGTTGCGGGTTCTCTATATGCATATGGATGTCTGAGTTTATGTGCAAATGAATGCGAGGTAGAACACAACAGGGCTTTGAGTGCGGATTATACTTGGTAGAGCGGGGCAAGGACGAAATCGAACCCAAATTGAACTGCCACCGTACCCCAAAACCACCTCAACGCCTGTGACACAAGATACTTTGCATATCTCAAGTTATGCAAGCGATAAACGAAACTGAGATTTCAAACTTTCGAGTATCTAAGGCCCCATCAGATTCATCAGGTTTGAGGAAGAAGTTTAGCCGAGACCTAATACGAATTTAATATGACCCCAGCAATCAACGGACAAATGACGATTCGGGGATGACAGCAGCTATAATCCCGTATGATTAATAATTGACAGGCAGACCGCACTATGCATATATAATGGACAAACTTGTATAGTTATGTGTGTGGGCCTCTTCTTTGTGTATATATTTATCGAGTGGCGTGAGATTTATGGCCAAAAATTACGGACACTTTGCGATTAATGAGCGGAGAACATCAGATATATCATATATATACACATATAGTTATAGCGCATCAAACACCCTAATATCGGAGCCATGGACTTGATTATTGTGTTGCGCAACTGATATAAATGAAATTGATTTCCGTGTGGGCAATTAATTAATTTTCGGAGCTGTTTGGACAACAACTTGTTGCCGTAATTTGTCAGATCAAATATCCCGATACGGTGGGTATAATGGAATAGAAATTCTCCCCATAGACCCTGAGAGACCTGAGAAATTGTCCCTTTGATATTGCATTCTGTCTCTCTCTCCTGCGAAAATCGGAATTCTCAATGCACTTTTGCAGCAATAAATAAGTGACTAACACTAACAAAGTATTGTTTGCATAAGCAGCAACGAAACACAATGGAAAAGGGGCGGCGAGGCAGAAGGGGTTAAGGGTGGAAAGGGGGTTCAATAGAAGCCAGAGAGTAGAAATAATGACGCTGGCTATCTACCACATTTCGTTGTTGCCTGTCTATTCCATTGCCATGGAAATTAGTCAGTACAAAAGTAAGAAAAAAAGTGTATATGTATACAGAAAAAATTGTAGAAAAAGCGAGTCATAAATATTGCTAATGAATTTCCCGCACGCTTTGCTGAGCTCAACAACAACAATAACAACGAAAACAGACCCAAACCGAGCCGAATCGAGTCTCTCAGCTAACTACATAGATATAGTATGCTGGAACGGAAGTTGGGAGCGGGAGCATTTGTTGTTTTTCGGTTTTGGCATAAAATAAATATAATTAAATGTAATTTTTATAATGACAAATGCTTTGTGTTCGGCGGCGCGCCCTCCGAGCAATTATGGCGGCGCTCTCGACACAGAAAACACAAAAAGCAGCCGTTGGGCCTGAGCGAAATCAAAATTTGTGTATCCCGAAAGCCGCGGCTTGAACTAGAGCGGCTGAAAGTTAAGTTTGCTGATCATCGATTTTGGTGGCTGGAATAAAAGGCCCAAAATTGAGTTCGCCGTTCCGTGGCTGTGAGCCCGCTGGCAATGTCGATTTGCCTGCTGCTCGCTCGATTAGCTGGCAATTGGACGGATGGGGATGGCAATGGGGCCCTCCGCTCCATCAGTCGCGATTCGTTGTAAGAGATAGAGAGACACACACACACGCTAGCTAATAGATGCACGCCCACGATCCTCGGGGGCATTATGATGATCAGCTCGGTCGCAAACGGGTTTCGCCATAAAAATAAAGATGATTTTGGCCAGATCACTTGTCAGCAACTGAAATCGCAATTAGCATTGCTAATGCGTGAGGATAGACGAGGCCCAAAGTGCTCGAATCAGTGAGTACGCTGCAAGTATCTGCGGCTCCCACGTGATCCGCTTCTTCGTAGATTGCTGCGCATTCCACACTCGAGATACGGATTGTTACAGATACATCGCGCGAGATGCAAATGTATCTCGTTTCGTGTCAAATGCCCAAATTTGTCAACGCGTCGTCGTTGTCATGAAGATGACGATGACGCTGACGATGATAATAATAATAACAATAACGACGGCCATTATTATAGACGGACCCCAGAAAGACACTTGGATGAGCTGACACGCCTAGTGGCACTAGAATAATAACTTGTCTCCAAAGCCCAAGTGGTTTTAGCCATAAAATGGGAAAAATATCTACCGTGTCATTGTTATTGCCCCCGTACCCGAAGCAGTCGCATAATTAATATTTAATAAGCCAAGTCAAGAGCGTTGCCAAAAGTTTTCTCGAGTGAAATATTCTGTTTCTGTGCGGCTCCTTTTCCTCCTCTTTTTTTACCTCTTCTGTATGTGTTTTTCATACTCTTTTTTTCTTAGAGTTGACTTAGCTGGGTAATTTTAATACTACATACTTAAGTCAGCTATGTCATGAGCGATATTTTTCCTATAAAGGTAATCAGACATCTACTTTAGATCATCAGCTACAGATTCTGTAAACATTTTATTCAAGAGAATTGATAATATAATTTTTGCAGTGCCTGAAAAGTTCGGTTTGCGTTTGAAGCTTGGCTACCAAAATGTTTGTTTCCGTTTTCAACTTATTCCCTTACTTAAGAGAGAGAGCAGGATGTCTCGGTTTTGGCTCGTTGCGATGCTTATGTGCCGCATATATTATGATGCTCGAGCAACATTTTTTATAACTTGGCATGCTCCAATTCTTTGGTGCAAGAGCTCGGCTCATGCCTCACGGCAGCCCGTCTCTATTTGCCATCGGCAGGGGGATTTAATGGGGAATTGGGAACGGGACTGGGACTGGGACTGGGGCCAGGAGTGGGCGGGGGTGGGGCACGGGCAACTTGAGGATGAACCATTCGGAATGTGTGCGCAAGTATCTGCAAGATAGTTTGTTCTGGGCAACTTTTTACCCCTGCCTGCCCTGCCTTTGGCTTCGACTCTTTATGTACGCGGCATGTATAGAGAGAGTTGAATACAAAAAGTAGAGTGTTCCTCCTTCGTTTTTCAGAAAATTACAAAATCCATTAAGTTGCTTGCACGCAACTTAAACATAAATCCATCATACGCCATGTGGCACACATACAGAGCGGGAGACAAGGACAAGTCGCAAGTGGGGGTGGCAGCTAGCATGCAGCTCCTCCCGCCTCTGCTGATTCGGCTGCTTTTATTATCCACGCCATATTTAATGCACAAACATTCAGACACTCGAGTAGGTAAGTAGGTTGGGCTAAGTCTACATCGACGTCTATATCTATGTATATCCCCGGCTGTGCATAGGTATGCGCCCGTTCCGAAGACGAAGAAGTTTCCTCTCGGCCTGCAAGGCTTTCAATTTAATTTTCTAACCATCCGACTGACGAACTTTGTACTTTGTACTTTGTATGCTGTTTGCCCGCTCCTCGACGCTTTCGAATCTGCTTTCAATGCAGCAGCCTTTGATGGGATGTGTATCTTTTGGCTGATGGCTGGCGATACCATAAATCATAGAACCGATTACGCCAAATTGCAAACGTTAATGTAATAAAAGCTCGGACCCAAAATTGCCCGTGGAGATAGGGGAGCTCTGAGAAAAGTAAAACTCACGTCTCTTGGGAGAATTGAGGCGAAGCGAGACAATAGACAGCTCTGTGTGCGAGCTGGCTTGTGTCTGCAGAATCTAGTTCAAAAGTTCAAGCGAAAAGCGAAAAAGCGGAGATTGAAAGACACCAGAAGACACGATCGCGGAGAAAGGGAGTCGCAATGAGACTGCTCGTTTCGGGGCTTCTGTTTTGGGCCACAATCGGAGACCCACTTTGGAGGCGGCTCTGTAACAAGGTCCAGCAATGAGTCTTTGTGGTTTTTCGCTTCGAGAACGCTTTCAGCCAC